TTTCTTTTTTTTTCTCTGACCATACATATGTGTAAATAAAAACTGTGCAGATCCTGTCAAGGATTTAAATTGGATGTATCAGCATGAAATTTGGCCTTTTTTATTAAATACTTGGCTACCAAGTAATTAATATATCTAAAATACTTTGAAAAGGGCATCTTTTACTGTGCAGCAGTATCTGAAAACATCTGTAGTGATGCTCCGCAAGGGCTGCCCTGCTTATCTGATATTAGAAACCTTAACCGAAAGTGAAGCTTCCAAGTAAGGCTTCCTTCCTTCACCTATAGTTTCATTTAAAGACTTTATTTTTAGAAAAATGGTTTTAGAGAGACTTCCTATCGAAGGTTACGTTTAGCCCTATGCTAAAGCATGCCTTGAATTGTGAAAACATCACCTGATTTATTAACTATGAGTTAGGACTTGCCACGCAAGGAAACTTACGGCGATAATTACACCTGTATAATTAGGCTCAGCCCATTCCCTGTGTCGACAAGCCCTTAGATGCAGCTAACTTGGCCCTTTCTTATTCAGTAACTCCTTAGGCTTCTGACTGCGCATTAAAGTGGCTTAGTTCTTAGTTTAGTGCTGACTGGCACCACTTCCAGGGTGCGTTTTAAGCTTTAAAAAATGAAAGGCAAAAGAAACGAAGGCTGCGAGAAATGGTTATAAATGAAATAATCCTGAGAATCACCTCTACGCAACCATGTGGGATTTGGAGTAGACATTCACGAGTGTGGCTCATTCACACCTTTTATAGACGAGGAGTGGCTTGGCCGGCCTTGAGTCACCCTTATCTCTGGTTTTCATCCACAACAACGTGCTGGAGTAGGAGCACGCACGCAGAATCCGGTATTTGTAGTGAAGCAGCATTTCTGTGATTGTGCAGAGTTCCCCTACCACCGCCTTTCCCCCACCACTCTCTTTTTGGCTTGATGATTAATTTTATTTCAGAAATCTGCCGCGAGACTCTTGTTTTTCTAACACCTGTCTTTTTCCAGATTTCCTTTTTCTGGGTGGAAATGACAATTCTTAAAGTAGATGCTCACAGTTATCAATCTTACGTAAATTGGGTGAATGAGAATAGGAAGCCTGGTTTTCTTAGTGATAAAAATAAGTCTAAAGACATTGTACTGGCACCTCGTTATTCAATACCCAGCTTACCTTAACTCACACCCTTAAAATAGAGCTCGTAGTGGTCTCAATCATCACATCAAGGCTGAAATATTCTCATTATTCATAATACAAACAAGAAAAAGAATAAGGAGCTGCTCGTACTTGTCACTCAGATGCTCTGATTTTTTAGTCTCTCAGATTTCTAATTCATTCTTCCCTTGACAGCGCTTTTAAAAGTAAAATCCAGGTTTCCCAGCTGTTTTATGATTGAGACTCATGATTTCTTTTCTTCAGTAGAAAAGAATAATAAGGCCTCTCCTTTTGGCACCAAATTCAGTATTTTGTGACACTGTAGACTTCACAGCTGGTTGCTGTAATGCATTTGACACGGAATAGTTTGATTTTTGCATTCTTAATTTGAAGCAGTAGTCCAAAAAATGAATTCGGATCAACAGTGGTAGTGTTTAGGGGTTTTTTTCCCCCTTTAAACTGAGTTCACATCCCTCAGTCCTATAGCTAACGTGGACGTATCTGTTTTATGCAGCAGAAATACAGGTTGACTGCTTATCGGGTCAGTGCTGCTGGTTAATAAACAGTGCTTATCTCCTTAAAGCAACACCCTGCCCTAAATGAAGTTTACACAGGGAGCTGAGCCAGAAATAACTTCTGTTTTTATTTTATTTTTTATTAGGTCATAAAAAGAGCTGGAAGAAAAAGTTGAAGATGCAAATACAGGGTAGTAGGAGTGGTGTTTTCTGCACAACTTCATTCTTTTGGGGTTTTTTTACCTCGTGCAAGTTGTCAGACTGCGTGATCACATCTTTTCCCCGGGAGTCTGTATTTCTGTCTGCCTTTCCTGTCATTCTCAGAGCTGAATATTGTGCCCTCACTTTTATTTATTGTCAATAAAACTGCAGAGGGGGAATGTAATTACATTGTTGAGCAACATCTGAGTGTGTTGATCCCTGAGCACTCACAGATACGACTCTGTTACGCCCCTGTGAGAAACACTAAGGGATCCTATTTTAATACAGAGGGCGGAAGATGTATTGCTTAATTACAAAATTACTGAATTTTGAAGCATAAATAGCTCATGGGGGCGTTCTCCCCCTCCATGATGCTCAATTTTTTGGAGTATTTCTGAAAAGTAGTCATGACGTGCCAAATCTAGCACAGAAAAAGGAAGAGTGGGGGAATTAGGATGTGGCAGTAGATAGAGAAATATTATATGGCATAAAAGTAGACGGGAAAGAGAAGGGAAATGCTTAATACTGAGAGTAGTTGACCAGGTAATAGTGGTAAGGCAATAGGTATTGCAGCTAGAATGCAGCGTGTGGATAGCAAGAAATGGAAATGTTAAAATATAGATGCCAGAAAATGAAAATATTTTTGAATGGGTGGTGCTGTGGGGATCATGGAACGACACCAAAAAATCATAGAGTAACATTAATGAGTAGGGCATGGTTTTCAAATGGGAACATTCTGTTACAGAAAGATGGAAATAAAAAATACGTGTAAGGCATTAAGAAACAGAAAACTGAAAACATAGGTGGGAGCTGGGTTTCTTTGGGAAAAGATGGTAAGATTCTGGTGGAGTAGAGGTAGAAGCTTGGTGCATCTGATTTGGAGGTGGATAATAGAAACCTTTGGCGTATTACGAGTATAAATATCTGTAGAAGTATTTTATGTGGTATTTTCCAGCTGCAGTGACAATGCTGTAAATAACTTTAATTGTCATATCCACAGCAAAGGGTTCCTTCCAATTAATGACACTGAATCTTTGTGAATTTATTGCACCAACAAGGGGAGATGGTGGCTGTGGGGTCACCTGAGCGAGTTAATCACATTTGGAGAAATATTTGGAGTAAGTAGAGATTGTGTAAGCACTGGGGAAAAGTGGTGAATCCATGTCATAGAATTTGAGATATGCAGGAATTTAAAAACAAAATAAATGAAATTGCCTTCATATGTGGTGTGTGGGGAAATTGGTGCTGGGAGCAACGGTAAAAGTAAGTAAGGGGATGCTGATGAGCGGGGAAAGTGGCCATAGGGAGTGTTGAAGGGTAAAGTGGGGAAATGATGCTGCTAAGGTTGGGAAGGCTCTTGCTTATTATTTCATTAATGATCTTTGCATAAATGTTTGGAATAAGTTTGTGAAACTTCATCATGGGGCATAGAAGGCATTGTTGGAAAAGGAGGAGCTGAGCATCATCCAGAAAGCAGTCGGGTAATAGATACGGGTTAAAAAAAAATATATATATATATTTATATTAAAGGTCATGTAGGTGAGATATAACAGTGAAGTGAGAGAGAATCATCACAGAATCACAGACTGGTTTGGGTTGGGAGGGACCTTAAAGCTCCCCCAGTCCAACCCCTGCCATGGGCAGGGACACCTCCACCAGCCCAGGCTGCCCAAAGCCCCGTCCAACCTGGCCTTGAACACTGCCAGGGAGGGGGCATCCACAGCTTCCCTGGGCAACCTGTGCCAGTGCCTCATCACACTCACAGGGAAGAATTTCTTCCTAATATCCAGTCTAAATCTCCCCTCTTGCAGTTTAAAACCATTCCCATTCATCCTCTCACTCCATGCCCTTATAAAAAGTCCCTCCCCAGCTTTCCTGTAGGCCCCCTTGAGAAACTGGAAGGTCACTATAAGGTCTCCCCAGAGCCTTTTCTTCTCCAGACAGAACAACCCCAACTCTCTCAGCCTGTCCCCATAGGAGAGGTGCTGCAGCCCCTGATCATGGCCTCCTCTGGACCCGCTCCAGGAGCTCCATGGCCTTATGTTGGGGGTGCTAAAACTGGACCCGAAAAACCCAAGGTGGGCACACATGTACTCACTGGGCGCTGGATGGCCAAGAGCTGCGGTATAAGGCAGCAGTACAACGGGCAAATGCAGTTTAGCATTTGTTAATCCAACGCTTCCAGTTGAGAGATGGAAACACCAGTTTCTGGTGCTAGCAGAGGACTGAATTTGATAATCTCAGGAAACCACGCCTGGATTCTTCGATAAGGAATGAGTAGCCTTCTGTGTTATTTCATGTATTTTGCTCCAAGGTACTGCTCCAGACTGCGGAAAACCTGAGTATGGGTGCTGTGGGAGTTCTGAGTGCTCCTGTTGGTACCTTACGCACTTCTCTGTGGATTTTTAATGGCATTTCCTAGATTGAAACAACCACAAGCTCTTATGCTTCTGATTCATCTGATCTACAGCTTGCATTTGAGCTGAAGAATACAGTAGAGCAGCATTAGACTATTTGCTGTTTGCTTTCTGTTAAAGGAAGCCATAGGATATAGTCCTGATAAATAGCATTCGGTTATTTCTGATAAATAGCACTTTCCAGATAGCTGCAACACATAGGTACAGCTCCTTTGCTGTATTCCCTTCTTTGCCAGGCTGTACACAGAATATATATATAGCTGAAATGCATGTGTTGTATTGCTTTAGATGCATGCTACTCATCCAAATGTGATCACGAAGGTGGTTTAAGTGGTAGAGACTCAATTTTATAGGCATTTGCTCAAATAAACAGGGTTCAGGGATTCATTTTGGTGTCTGTTTTGAAACCAAAGTTCTTCCCTGTGACCTGTTATCACTTTCCCAGCAGCATCCGCTTGGCCTCAAATTCCCATCCAGCTGGCTTGTAGTATAGGAAAGTGCAGCTGATTTTAAGATTTTGTTTAGTAATCAAGGCTGGGAAATCCAGCAAATGGTGAATCAGCATGGGTAAAAGAGAGCCAGAATTCACGGACTCCCGTAGCAGGGTTTTTTCTGATTTTACCTAAAAAAACGTACCAGTTTAAATGTGCTGAGCTTCACTGTAAATGTGTTTAGCTGTAAATTTGATGTAGCTGATGGCTAATTTGTGCTTTCTCCTTTTTTTTCAGTGCTTGCACCCCCTCCGCCGTTGCCACCACCAGTCCAGGGATATGCCTTTAAACCCCCTCCTCGACCAGATTTTGGCACTTCTGGGAGAACAATCAAACTGCAGGCCAACTTCTTTGAAATGGACATTCCTAAAATAGATATCTACCATTACGAATTGGATATAAAGCCAGAAAAATGCCCTAGAAGAGTTAACAGGTAATACCGCGCTTTGTTTTCCCACCTTCCCCTACTGACAAGGGGAGGCAAAGCCCCTTTGTTTTTGTTGCTGCGAGAGGATTGTGGAGGAACTGAATTAGGTAAGAAATTATCCTTCATCAGTAGGTTCTATATAAGGGAAAGCTATGCTCCTGAAACAGATAGCAGAGTGAAAACATGCATCAATTGGCCAAGGAAACAGGTAATTACACATTTTGCATGTGTGCCCAATTAGTCACTGTGGCAACCTCATTGACTTGAAAACGAGCGGTGTTGCCAGAAGTGAAACGGGAGAACGGGACTTGGCACTCACTGGAAACCGCAAGTGCCCTCAGCGTCACTGCCTGCATCTCGACTCGTGGGGATCAGGATGGCGTGTTTATGTATTCAAGAGCAAACCCTTTCCTTGGTGAAAGAGGTCACACGGGTGTCATGTGCAGTCATAAACACACGAACAAAGTGCGGAGTCTAAAAAGCCACCTGAGAGCCACAGTTTTATGAATGAATTAATAAACTGGAGTGCATTATCCACTGTTATACTAAAGAGTCAGTAATGGTAGTTTTTTACCTAAAGCAGCATCACTTTGCTGTCCTGTTTGGTTTTATTTTTCTGTGGTGATCTATTATACATTAAATTCTCAACTAGCTTAAAAATTTAAGTTAACTTTAAAAGCAAACGCTGTAGTAATTTGTGAATCTGAGCTCTCTTCTTCAAGGACAGCCCTGCTGATTTCACTGGGATACTCTTACTGCGTTGGAGCGCTGAAAGTATTTTTCAGCAGTCGCTTTTTTTGTGGTGGGAGCCACAAGTGCTTTGCTTTCATTACCGATATCCCCATCAATGACAGAGAGCATAATTATTAAATAATGAAGTTATTTTTCTCAGTGAAAAGGCAGATGATACTCAGTGACAAGTTCTTTCTCCACTGGCAGCTTCTGACCTGCTCCACTTTGTCGAGTTAGTCACTCCCTGTGTTGCGGTAACAGGAGCAAGTCTAAATCTCCATAGATTAAATGCCTTTTGCAGTAAACAAAGATGTCATAAACGCAATGGTGTGGTGTGTTTCAGCGCAGTGTGGGAAGAATACAAATTGGATTCACTTAATGAAGCGTATGTTTGATTTCTTTTGAGTGCTTATTGCCTACGTGTTACCCTGTAGATGTATCTGCACTCAGCTGCACCTGGGTTTTGTGGGTCTTACATATATGCCTATATTTTTGTGCATTCTGCATAATCATATATATAGAGAGAGAGATACAGATATAATATATATATACACACACACTTATATGTGTGTATATATATATAAGTACACACGTACTTCAGTTCTAAATGATAATTTTTTCAGCTGGCTTACACATTTACAATATTTTTGTTACAGAATTCAGATGTATATTTATAGTAAATAGTTTTTATCATTACCTTGTGTTGTAGCCTCTAGAAAGGATAGAGGGAGGCTTTATTTTCATTTATGCTACTCCCTCATCAGTCCCAGCTTCCCTCCTCAGTTTTATCCTAGGACTTACTGCAGCTTGGAGTATGGTGTGTACAGCGTACGTCCAGTTTCTACACTGACCGGTTATGAGCTGGAGCAGGGCTGGAAAACACAGCTGAGGCTTTTCATGATCTCGGTTGAATAGTAGTCTCAAAGGGCTGAAGTTAGTGAATTGGCCAATAACTCCTCCTCTTTAAAATTTAGTGAAGGAAGTAACTTATTTTTCATTAAGATGTCTCCGCCCACAGCTGAGAAGCACCATTGCTAAATGTGGTTTCAAGCTTGAAAACCTTGATTAAGTGGAAGTGGTCATTTTTAGATGAAGTCATTCGCAGTCGGAAGAACTTGCTCAGAAAGAGCATGGGTTTTCCATTGCTCAATCTTGAAAAACACCTCCTTCCTCCCACCCTCCAAATTACGCACTCACACAGACATTGCAGACCGGAGGTGGGTATTACTGGGTCGAGTTTTATTTGTACTTCTTAGGGAGTCAGGGAAGTTTCTTTCAGTGGTTGCATCTTGTGTTAAAGCCTTGGGACGCAGCAAAGAAATTGTCAATTAAAACAGTTTTCGTTCTTCTCTGGAATGGATGTATCTCAGTATTTTGCGTCATTATAATACCTAACTGCATGCTGGGTTAATTGTCTTTCCAAGTCTCTCAAAGCTGCTGGTTGACCACAGTCCTGAAGAAAGAGCACGCCGCGGTTTCCTTTCTGTGTCACTTTAACTACTTTAATGCCCTTCAGCACCAAGCTGCACGTTAAGGATCTTGTAGCAGTATATTCAGACCACATCTGGATTGTAGTTTTACAGCCTTGTGGTACAGATAGCCCAAGGGATGTCTCTTTGGGACAGTTGGACCTTTGGCATCAAGAGGTGTTATTATTCCACCAGGCCTCTCATGGGCTGGTGAAGTGCTTTGTGTGACCTGTGGGTAAACAGTGTGGTTTAACAAGAACTTTGTGAGTGGTTACCTCATTCATACAAACGTGTAATGTCATTCCAACAATGCTTAAATGAATTCAAATGTTTAATATGCGTAGATCCCAGTGAATGCATGTACCCAGTTTTGATGGATGGGTCCCAGTTTTGTTGCATCTGTGAAAAAATTACATTTAAAAGTGATCTTTCCCAAAGTGATGCAGAACGCTTGCATATCATTGATAATAATTATTGTCCTAATGCTGTAAGTTTGGATAATGATTTTTTTTGAACACTGCACAGGCATGGTCTATGGCCCTCTGCAGAAGGGGCTGTAGAGGAGCAGAAGCCCCAGGAGAACGTCAACCACCTCCTGTTTTGAGCTTGAGAGAGAGCACGGGCTTTTGCTTTACCACTTTCAGATCACAGAAAAGAGGAAGGAAGGTTTCAATCTGAAATAGCTGCTTTAAGAAAACAGTTTAATCTGGGAAAAGATTGCTTTGATTCAGATCAGTCAAACAAATCTTGACTTTAATACCCAAGAGTGGACAACCCTTTCATTTACCTAATGCCTCTATGCATAAATATTAGTGTTAATGTTCACTTGCTAGTTAACATCAACAGGTAAAAGTTGAATTAACGTAACTTTTTTGTATTTTCAGGGAAATAGTGGAGCATATGGTTCAGCACTTTAAAACCCAGATTTTTGGGGATCGCAAACCAGTGTTTGATGGAAGAAAAAACCTTTATACAGCTATGCCACTGCCCATTGGGAGAGATAAAGTAAGTTTTAAATAGAGAAGTTTTGTGTTGAAGATTTAATGTAATATTTGCAGAGCCTTTCTAATAACTGGTAGGAACTGATGGTATATTTTTGGAATAGATGTCTCCTGGTCCCACTCTGCGTAGGATGTGATTTGCTGGGACAGAAGTGTGAGCTTGTTGCCATCAAAATAATCACTCCCCTTTCCATATCCCTTCTTTCCTCCCTTTCTCTCTCCCCACTCACGTAGTCTCTGCTGGTTTGATGAGCTCGATCAACTCCCCAACACAGTGAACAAGCTCCATGCTGGTGCTAGGAAGAAAATGAAAGCACAGTTGAATTTGGGAGAGGGGAGCAGTAGCACCCTAATCCTTTATGATGTGAAAGCCAAATTAATTTAAACTGCACAGGTTGAGACCTGCTCACAATTGAAGAGGACTCACAAATTCTGTTTGCCAGCTCTGTGTGTGGGTCCCTCCAGTTGTAGCTGTGAAGCATGGTCATGTCTGTGCCTGTTGGTGACTGCGGAAGCAGAAGGGACCGCACTGGGACATGCTAACACGCAAACCCTATAAAATAATTTAGCCTATGCTTCTGTGGTCTGATATCGGCTTGAATTTGCTTTGGCTTTTTTAATATAGATGAACACGTGAGAATACAGTCACTGTAGTTATTGCAGAGGCCATTGTACCCTTCTGCTGAGGGTGCTGTGTGAGGCATGCACAGTTATAGGAGAAGACTGATCCCACAGAAGTTGATTACAACCAAACTAGGCAAAAGCAAAATGTAAGGGGAGATACAGAGGAATGTGGAAACTTGCTTATGTCGTACAACTGGGAACAGAGCTCCTGAGTTGAGTGGCAGTGTGCTCCAAAACAGTTCCTGCTGTCCTTTTCTGTCTCATATTGTCTGTCTGTGCAGTACATTACATAGTTAATACTTCTACCTGAATTGAGCTTTTAACCTCATATGTGTAAGTTCTATTTCCCCCAAATGTATTTAAGTGAATGTAAAGGTCAGTCTCTACTCCAGTCCTAATTATTTTTCATCAACTGCTAAGCTATTGTCTAGGAAGACTATAAGAGAATAATTTAAAAGTTTTAGAGAGATTTCTTTTTCACTTTCACGTGTAGTATTTCAGTTCCTACAGGTTTGACATGCGAGATTGCAAAGTATTTGCTAAAGGTTGGATGTTGCTTGATGAGACTTGATGATCTTAGAGGTCTCTTCCAGCCTTAATGATTCTGTGAGTGTGTCCTAGGGGTTTGAACAAGTCCTCCGGATGCACGTAGAGTTACCTCACAACTCTAATACTTTCCAAGTTGTGGATGACTGACAATACATTTTATTACAAGTATGAATTTCTGCAGTTAATAAACAGAAGTAAATGAAAAAAGGTTATGTATGGAGGATAAACAAACTGGGATCAGATTAATCCCTGGATCTAACAAAACTTTGTGAGATTGAAGTAGCTGCCAACTGGATGAGGTGACCTCCTCCTCCTGTTCCTTCTGTGTCTGATTGCACACACAGTACTCAGCTCTTGATGCCTTGGATTTCCAAGCTTATGTATATTAAATAATACGTGGTAAAAATGTCAGTGTCTCAGCGGGAAATGCTTTTGATGCTTCATGTCAATGCAAATGGCTGTGGTAACCTCATCATATACACTTGGAAAGATGCTGACTTGAATGATTTTCTTACTCATTTTGGGTGGGACAGAGTTATCCAGCTGGAGTGGTGATCATTTGCAAAGGCAGTCACTGAGGAGTGTTTTTAGTGGAGGTTAGCACGAGATGGTTCAGTTGATTTCATCTGTGGCTCACATTTAAGCTCGCTTTTAATAAATTCATATTTTTTCCCTATTTTCCATGGGATATAGGACTTTGCCAGTTGTTCTGCCATACATATGTTAATGTTATTACCCTGGAGGAAAGAGCTAATGGAGATAAATCTTCAGCATGGGGAAGTTTAGCTTAATGAGGGGAATTTTTACATGGTGCTAAATTGCTTTAAGCATGGTTTAAACCAGAGTAAAGCTTGTAGGTATTAGGACTTTCCTCCAGCATAATTAGGTTTCTTTGGGGTGGGTTTTTTTGGCTGTTTTGTACATAAGAAATGTAGCAAGTGTACTGCACCTTTGATTGCTTTTAAGATCATGCTGAAAAGATTAATGAACGTACAATGACAAACAGATGATCCTTAGTCGAAGTGGAAGAAAACCTTGATTTACTTTCAGTGTGCATCGGTAG